GACCCCCAAACAAGACAAGGAGAGAGGGGGTCACTCCCCTCTAATTTTAGCTCTCAAAAATGCATCTAAGCCACTGAAAATCCACTAGATTCCAGTGGCTAAAAGGCCAAACCATGGCCAATGCAAGTGCTCTAATGCATGGCCCTAATCATGAAGAGATGAAGCATGCATAGGGGAATATGACTTCAAACAGTAAAGAGCCCTTAAACAAAGTTGAAGAGGGGCTCAAAATAAGAACTTTTTCAGTTTATGTCGAAGTCCGTATGCTAATTGAAACATGCCCTAATCTAACCATCATAAGCTGGTAAATAAAAGGGAGAAAGACGTGGGGTTGGAAGACATACATCACACGCACGCACACTTATTACAATTGTGCCCTCGCTCGGAGGGTCCGAATAAATAATACAGTCCGAAATGAGTAACGAATTACAGCTAATTATTACACATCCACTAACTAACTAACAAATTAGCTAAGTAAGCTATAAACTGGCATGCAAATGGACTGCCCCGGTTCTGTTTTGGATGACAATGAATGCATGCATGCTCGATGCGCTTTGTCGGTAAATTCCATCGCGATGCCTTGTCCCGCCATTGCTTGCAGCTGATTTCAAAAACTTACACAAAGCTCCAGGAGGCTGAAACTCCACCTGGGGAAGGCTGCCGACCAGCTCTTGGCTTGGGAAACACCTTCTGATCACCCCTCATGGTGAAAACCAAAAAAGGTGGTCGGTCTACCAGAAAACCTGGTCGGCCGACCACTTTTTGCCCCTGGACTCTGGTTTTTCTGCAACAAAGGCAAGAAAGAGAGAAAGCAATGTATTTTCAACATATGAGTGCGTGACCACTCCTCCCCGTTCTTGCACAAGCTCTAGGGAGTGTGGCCCTCGATTCTCGAGCCACCAATCACGCATCTCGATGCATGATGGCCGAGAGACCGAATTGCATGTTTTAATATGACATGAATGCAGGTATGAACATATGAAGCCAACAATTCTATCATAGATAATCAAGAACATCGGGGACCGGGAATCGAGGCACGTTTCGTCACTTGGAATACGAAACGCCCCTCGTTTCCCATGCTTGGACTAAACCTTATTCCAAGCACCATGCAAATGGAATGGCATGCACAATGCGACTAATATGCAACCTAGCATACACAATGCTCTGTACTAAAATGGCATACACAATGCGCGTGATGTAACATGGCATACACAATGCTCTAAGATGCAACCTAGCATACGCAATGCTATGGATTGAAATGGCATACACAATGCACGATGGACTTACACCAATATGAGTGGACCTCAGCCACACTCACATCAGTGGCCATATGATGGAAAAGAGACAATCGAAATGCGTGCACACGTGCACGTATACCGAGGACCGAACCTAACACATAAAATGCCACTCTACCAAAGCATGGCAAGGGATGCAAGATGGCATTCAAACATACAAATTGCAACACTGAAACATGATGCTAAATGGTCCCGAAACATGGAAATATGGCACCCGATGCATGGAATAAGTCCCGAAACTCAAAACTAGGCACATGCATTGAACCACAAGCGCACAAAGAAAGCATTATTTGATCATGAAGCATAAAGACAGAGCCAAGGCAGTCCAAAACATGCACATTTCTGGTTTAAAGCATGGCCAAAAGATGCTAACATGATGGACTAACATAGCATGCAACATCGGCTAACAAACATGGTTTACATGGCATGTATATGAAGCGTATGAGAACTCATCAAACCAGCCAAAAACAGTAAATAAAACATGCCAAAATATGCCCAAATAATCACTGAAATGCAGCCAATGCATGCAAAAATGAGGGGTTTCTTTGGAGGGCCATGCAAGGGGTTGTTAAGCACATACAAGATAGACATGAAGCATAGCAAAAACACCTCTGGAAATGGACTATGACAGCCTTGAAACCCATCAAATTGGCCCTGAAATGGGTCTATGAAACATGCAAAGAAAGGCCCCTTTGAAAGGCCTTGGATGAGATTGCTCTACACATGTATTGTAGACATAAGATATGGAAAAATGGGCTCTGGACAGAGCTTATACAGACCATAAATTCATAAAATGAGGCCTGAAACATGACTTCAATACATGCAAAATAGAGTCCCTTTGGAAGGCCAACAATGCTAGTAAAGAGAATGAGGGGTGAGAGGGTCACCCCTCTATGATTTTGGGGCTTAAAGACACATCAAGGCCACTAAAAATCCGCTGGATTTCAGTGGCTAAAAGGCCAAATCAAGGCCAATGCAAGTGCTCACATGTATAGCTCAAAACATGAGGAAATAAGACATGAAAGGGGGTAGATGACCCCAAACAGAAAAAGTATCTTAGCCAAACATGTTTATAAGCTCAAAAGGAAACTTTTTCAAGTTTATGACAAATCTAAAAAATGTTCACAAGTAGGGCTAAGATATGATGCAAAATAGGCCTACAAAGAGGGATAAAGCATACAAGGATGTAGGAGA